GTTAGACACTCCAACGATGTTAGATTTAAGAAGCCGTAGATAAGTAGCAGTAGGAAGTTTGTAAACTTAGCTGATAATAAATATGTTCACATACTGGGTAAAGTTGCGCTTGTGATTTGCTGTCGCTCTCTGAGTTAATGATATACAATTTGCAAGCTGACAACACTGTTCGAAAGAGAAGGTATTGGTGTATCGATACAGTCAGAGAGTTGATTGAGAAAAAAATGCCTACTATCAATTTTGAGCGAAATATTGCATGATCAGAAATATTTCACTCAAAACTAAGATTATCGAAAACTTTGCTGAATGACCTTGAAAATTTCAACAGATCGACATGTATTCATTCGGCAAGTCTATATCGAAATTATGAGGTCGATCGATACCATACCGAACGTACGGGCACGATTCTACTAAAAGGCTGCACAAATGTGTTTCGTGGTTTTCAGCATTTACGAATTTTTTCCAAAGTTGTTTACGGATCAATCGCCAAAATGTCATCACCAATCGATGGCCTAAAGATCGAGTAATCGATTTGTAGAACGGATGTGTCAAAAATGTAAACAGTCCGAATGTCACCGCGCTGGAAAGCGGTGATTGTCATTTTATCGATAAAGAGAATGGAGCCTAAATAGCGTCATCTACGATCTATCAATACCACGATTGTTGCCCAGGATCATACTATGTCATATGTAAAATTCCCATCGCTCCACATCGAACGCTTTGAACGTGGGAATTTTTTGAAAATTTTCAAACAAAATCGAATAAAAAATTCTACCTTTGAGGTTAGAAAGAAAATATTGACATATTATAAATATTTGGAGTTAGCTCGTCGAGCGCGGTCGATTGACACCATTGTGTGTCATACAAAAATGTAAAAATTGACAGTTTACGTGATTTGACATACAGCCACCATAAATATGGTCGGTCAGATGACAACTGTCAAATATCTGATCTGCGACTTTTCGTGTCGAAGAAAAAGCTTTCAAATCGATTGAAAATAATCGCTAAAAATCAAAATGTTTATCAGATGAACGATAAGGTTGAGTGAGGTTATGGTCATTACATAATTTGACCACAACAAAGTACCTAACACGATGGTAATACTCCGATACGAAACGAAGCAAAGTTGTAGATGGGAAAGCAAATCGAAGAGAAAAATTCCGTTACCATGGCAACCGCATTGTTGACACCGTTACTAAGGCACTTGTCTCCATCACTTTGATCCTCCCCATCGATTGCGATCATTTTCGTAACGATGCGATCAGTTGCCGCCTAATTTGGCGGCAAGATAACAGTGGCCATGGCAACCAAGCTTGATCATGTCTCATCGCTATAAATGGCTCGAAAACCGGTTTCCACCGCAACTTCTTTAAGCCATGGGGCTAAATCGTCAAATAAAAAATAGCCACCGCGGCCTGACCTAGCTCAGGATCCCCAATGTATGACTCATTTATTAAGGCGGGTTAAACGCTTGCGAGACCAGAGACTTAAATTTTAACATAAAAAAAGGCCATCAACATTGTTATTGTTACTGTTTGGGCACTTTGTTTAAACAAGCAAAAAATCGAAGATCATGAACATTTTTATGAGCAACTTTTTCCCAGCAAGGGAACTGGACGCACCGAGGTATTGGTATCATACTTAGCCAGGCACTAAGGAAAAGAATCGAATTTACATCTCAACCGAAGCTAAAATTCTACTTTCAAATTTAACTCCCCAGCTTGAGCAAAACCTAGAAAATCCGAGCTCATACACTTAGGCTTACACGAAGCTGGCCAGACTGTGATGTTAATTTACTATCGCCAACTTCTTTAGCTGACGATTTTGCCAATTATTTTACACAATGGACATATTTCCACTGCAAGATTTCGCTTGACAATGTTCATTTGGAAAATTAAATTGTCTTACTTCCCGGTCACTAACCTTCAACAACCAGCAGGAATCCTTTGGGGTTCTTGAGCAATATCGAGAGCGCTGTGCGGGTCATGTCGGCTAGCGAGGGATCTCCAGACGGGCCTGGATCGCGATCCACTTCAAAATCCATGTGGGAATATGAAAACAAACCTGCAAAGAAGGAAACAACCAGCTAAAATTGCGAGTCCATCATTGAGCTAATCTGTGACTGTATCAATTGCGCTTCCCATTTCATTCGGTGCTATTCTGTTGTAAATTGATATATTCAAAGTTAGCTGCCATCCAAGGGCTTCAATACAGTAATTTAATTTCGACATTAACCAAATATTTTAGCCTACATCCAAACATCCACGCTATACGAAATTACCCAGTTATCGTAAGTTATGCTTTCCTGTTAGAGTTAATATTAACTTAGTATACATTAGTAAAACGTATGTGTACATAAACTAGTTACGTTGCGAATATCATGCCAGCTGCTGGTTTTTTATGGAATTTATATGTCAGTTCTGAGCAGTTTATTTACCCAATAAATAGTCGATTTCCGCCGGTTTGATCTTTTCCAAATTTCCCTTGCTCCAGACGTATTCCGCATTTAAGCCGCGTTTCTTTTTGTCTCTCATCCAGTCATCAATCAAGTTTCGGCCATCCAATCTGCGTCCCTCTTCTTTGGTTAGTTCGGGGTCATGTGCCACTTTCGGAAGCCAATGCCGGCGACCGCCACCCAGCAAAACCTGGAAAAATATAAAATATGATGTAGATTGCGTTCGCTTTTTCCTGTGCAAGTTTGGCCGGATTTTGTGCCAGCATTTGTGGCGAATCCGGGTTTATGTATGACTATTAAAAATTCCTGGATCCTTTGTCGACATTTCCTGGAAAATTGGTAAATATATTTCGATTGATGCAAATGGACGAAGTGAGGATGACCATGAAATAACGATGTAGTATTAATGCTTCTTGTACGAACATATTTGATCACTGCATATTTGCTTTTGTGCTGACTGTATAGAAATTTCGTACAGTCCATTTAAACAACTGAAAAATTGTAAAGTATTCAACTGATTCCAGCCGATATAAAAATAACTGGGGTCGAAACCTGCCAAGCAGAAATCGACCAACCTGACACCAAAAATTTTGAAAATTTGCAAAACTGGCTCAATAATAGTAGACACTTTGCTTTTAAACGGTGATATATTCTTTTGACTGGCACAAAAAAAACCGGCCACATGCTTTAATCTCAATGGTACAAGAGGTCGAAGCTTGTCAGGAAAAGACGAACAACGTGACACCAAAAATATTTTGAACTTTTGCCAAAATTCGCTCCATACGAGCACAAAAATTGTCCAACAGAAGACACTTTGCTCTTATGAACGGTACCAAAAGAGATCATCCGCATGCAATATTTCAGGTGCTACTATAAGTCGGCGTTACACAGATAGAGGACGAACAACGTCTCACCAAGAAATTGATTAGCCTTAATCTATCTACTGCCCGAAAGCTCTATAAAATCCATCGAAAGCGTAATAATGGAAGATACCGTGGTCGTTTGGATGGTACAAAGAAGACCCTTCCATATGCACCATTGTCAAAGCTTTGCAAGGAGAAGATGAACACCGTGACCCCACAAATTTTGCACATTTTCCAAAATTTGCACCCAAAAGGTACAAAATTCATCAACAGCGTAATATTAGAAGACGCCTTGCTCTATTGAATGCTATCAAAACAAACCCTCCACATACCCCACTATCAGTGTTACAAGAGGTCGAAGCTTGACAGATAGAAGACGAACAACGTGACACCAAATATTCTGAACATTTCCCAAACTTTGCTCCATAAAAATACAATAATTGTCCATAGCGCTAAAATACCTTTTGCTCATTTGAACGGTACCAAAACATATCTTCCACATTTAATATTTTAGGTGCTACTACAGGCCGACACTAACAGACAAGTAGAAGACAAACAAAGCGATAGCAGTAAAATTAAACATTTTCTAAATATCGTTCTATATAAGCAGACAAAAATTTGCAGAAGCAATTGAGGACACCTTCTGCTATTGAATAGTACCTACGGAAATATTCCATATGCCTTATTCTAGGTGTTAGGAGACTTGACAAGTAAAACATAATGCGAAGATGATCCACATTTGGCAAAATTCCAGTATAAAGTGCATCCAGAGAATCGTAATAAAACACACTTTGTTTGACTAAAGAAACCTTCCATATGTACCCCTTTCGGTGTTACTAGAGGTCTAAGCTCTGCAAGTAGAAGGCGCATAGCGTAACAGCAATAATTTTGCGAGTCTTCTGAAATCCGCTCCAGAAGAGCATAAAATAAATCAAAAACGCAATAATAGAAGACATTTTGCTCTTTTGAACGGTGCCAAAAGAAATCTTCCCCATGCACCATTCTCGGTGTTACAAGAGCTCGAAGTTTGGCAAGTACAAGATGAACACAGCGACGGCAAGAATGTTGCATATTTGCCAAAATTACCTCCAGAAGAGTATACAAACCGCACTTGCGCAATAATAGAAGACACTTTACACTAGGCCTGGGTAACACTGTGCTTAGTTGCTCTTTTGAGTTGTTGCGCTCTCTGAGTCAATGAGTTTTAACTCATTGGTTAATGAGTTATATCTAACATCTAACGAAGACGCCATCAACATATTGCTTGAAAATATTTGCTGCAAAAGGTCTCAGAAAAAAGTTTACAAAGCTGTTCAGGAGCCGAGTGTTTGACTCCTAAAATGGCTCCAGTTGAAAATTTATTTGATTATTTCACTCATCCATAGCAACGCCATAGGGCAAAAAAGGTATTTATGTTTCACCTATACATTATTGGCTCATAATACCTTAGAGATGAAACATATAATAATATCCATAACAACCGCAGGGCATTGTTAGCGGGCATTATAGTATAACGCCCGCTTATAATGCCCGCTCTTAATGCCCGCTAAGTTAATTTTTATAAAATTGTTATTCTCTCGCGTTGACATTTTTCAAGTTTAAACCACAAAAAACAACTGAATAAAAACAAATACCCGTGAACTAAACTTTATCTCCAAAATAAAAATTACAATTTTCAAACGTCCCCGTTTCAAATGTTCCCGTGAAGATACTGAACTCGCAATCATTTCAGCAACCTTGTTTTTTGAAAAGGTACTCTATATATCCCTCTGCTACCGTCGAACTTTTCCACTTTCCATGTCTTTTTAGAGTTTCAAACGAAGCTCCTGCATCCACAAGAAGAGTGGCAGTACGCACGTACGCCGCAGACAGTGGCCGGTGTAAGCATCTGCATTGTCTAATTTCAAGTACTTTGCTATAGTTCCAGGTACACTTCCAATAGTATTTTTACCCACTGGTTGTACTGTACAGCGACTATTTCTATACGTAAGAAAGAATCTTTGCTCTTTTATTCCTTTAG